TTATGCAATGTATGTTGTACTAATAAAAAAGAGGAGTTTAATTAGAAGCAAAAAATATTTTTCGTTAAATTTATATAATAAATACGAATAAATTGCCGATCATTTATATACTAATTCAAATTTGCCAATGTCGATCAGTAACATTTTCCTTGATTGATATTGTAGCTCTTTTATTTTTTCCCCATGCTCGCGCTTCTCAGGAGAACAACTCTATACCCCAGTTTTCTGCCCCCACAGGCCAACAAGCTACATCATGCACGGCTGCCACTTATACATGACGGTTGTGTACCGCAGGCTCGCCACACCCATACCTACTCAGATGCCAAGGAAGCCCTGAAAACTGGGGCAAGAAACGTAAAAGAGAACATAAAAGAGGGCGTAAAAACGGATTTGGTACTGTAACTTTTGTCTTTGTGATCAATGTGTTCTTTTTCGGCCTGCAGTGTATTCTGACTTACACCTTGACAATGCTAGTCCGCTTGGAAGTTTGTAAAGTGGTTCGGCGCTGGCGCTGGCTTAGTATTACTCGACTTCAGCTTCGCCAACTGGTACAACCGCCGGAATGAGAGGATTCTTCTTCATGCCTTTGAACATGGTTCCTGTCCAGAACCTGATGTTATGCGGGAACAGCTGATTTACCGTGAGGTCGCTATCAAGAAAATGAAACGAATTCTCGAGCCGATCCCTGACCATAGCTCTTATCACGTCGTTGTCGGGAACCACAGAACTGGGAAGACCACAGTGGTCCGGCAGTGTGCTAGGGATGTTGGAAAAGGGGTCATTTATGTTGATGTCCCCCCTGTATTGGATAACTTCATTGATGATCTTGCAAAGGCTATTGGATATTCATTCAAGAAGTATGTGTCCTTCACTGAATCATTTAAGCGGAAGATTCTAGGCAATAGCGAGTCTGGTAAAGGTTATTATAAAGAATTAGTATTGGTGTTTGCTCTACACTCACTTCTTGTTTTATAGCTGAACAGCCCAGGTTTTTTCATGTCCTGGATGCCTTCGAGAGAGGAGCTAGAAAATACAAGGCAAATAACAGCAAACCTCCAGTGTTGATCCTCGACAACATAAGTAAGCTGGGCCAGGAAAATGTCAAATTACTAAAGGATCTGCAGGACATCGCAAAACTCTATGCTGACCAGCGCAGTTGCGTTATTGTGTTTGTCAGTAGCGAGAGAACAGTGCCACGCATGATGATGCGTAAGTATCGTATGATATAATTTTCCTGTATCTCGTTCCTTGCTGATGGCTTCTTTGCTCTACTCTAGAACAATCATCGTGGTCACGCACTGAAAAAAAACCCATTGTCATCGAAGATCTAACTAGCAAAGAGGCATTCACCTACCTCCACAGCAAACTTGGCATTGAGGAAAAGGTCACCGATCAACTCATTCAACTCTTAGGTGGCCGGATTCGTGATCTTAAGGAATATGGTAATATGATAAAAAGTGGCGAAACATTCGAAGGTGAGAGAGCATTTACTATCTGGACAATGATGATGGTATTTTGCATGAACGTTGTTAAGCCTAAACACTACGTCGTTAGGATAACAAAGCTTATTTGCTAACAGGGAGTTTAAGTTGTAAACT